ATTGGACCTTGCACGAAGAAGCACGGAATTTTCAAAGATTGGGGATGCTAGATTTGATTGCTTTTCTTTAAGCCATTTTCCTTCTCCCTTGCGAGGCGTGGACGATTTGAAAATGAATGCGAAGCTTTTTCTTGTGTTTTTCTTGCTTTTCGCCGTCTTTTCCTTCTGCGTTTCTTATGTGTCTGTCAGTGTTGATGTTGGATGTATCATAGAAGATGTAGGTCAATGAGAGATGGATGGAGAGATTGTGAGCTTCGATGATGTCGTTACATTTGCTGGCAATGAATGACCGTCTTGTGCATCATCTTCATGTTGAAGCGAGGGCAACTTTTGAAGTGCTTTAATGCGAAAGCGAGCTTTCTCAATTCTGATGTGAAAGCTTTTTCAAACTATAGCCATGTGTTCCATCCCTTCATTCTAGTGAAACAGGTGTATATGCTCTCAACTGATCGAAAAGGGAAAAAGGAAAGAAACAAAACTCCTCAGTTGCGCCAAGTATTAACCCTCGTTCTCGGAATAGACACGAAAACATCCTTCAAAACAAACACAACCCCCACAACGACCCCTTCACACACCACTAAAACCCATCACCGCCTATCCATCCCAGGCGCAGGAGGCGGCCCCCCCGCAGGAAACCCAGGCGGCGGAAACGAGTGCTGCCCCGGCGGAGGCACGGGCATGCCAGGCATGCCGGGGAAGCTCGGCGGCGGGAGACCGCCGGGGGCAGCAGCAGCGGGGGCGCCGGGGGCTCCCGGAGGCGGGAAGGGGGGCAGGCCGGCGGGCGGAGGGAAGGGTAGGCCGTTGGGGGGCATCGGGGGCATTCCGTTGGGGCCGGGGGGGAAGGGGGGCATGCCGGGGATGCCGATGCCGCGGCCGCCGGGAGGGGCTGTTTTTGTATAGGTCAGAAAAAGCGTGTTGTGCGGAGGAGGTTAGAGATGGGATGGGATAGAACGTACGTGGGAGGCCGGCGGGGAATTGGCCGGGAGGAGCGCCGGGCATGCCTGGGAATGGGGGAGGGATGCCTAGATGGGAGAACACTTGTGTTAGCGTTTTGTTTTCCTTGCTTCTTTCTTTTCTCATGTGGCGGTCGAGTACACAACGGGGGCGTTGAAAAAGCCCATCGTCGTGGTCGCAGT